CCCCCCCCAATGTCCATAATGCAATGCAACAGAAAGTTAATAAAAAAAAGTATGGAAATAATTGCATCAGCAAGTCAATGAGCAACAGAACTCAATTCACTAAGGTAGGACATTGTTTAGGTAAAAAAAAAAAAAGAAAAAAAAAACATCATACCTGTTGCAATCATATATAACAGGAAATACTGGTGAGCTCTCAATTATGTGCAAGAATTTCTTCAATTTCAGATCTGACTGCAAAAAAGTGTTTGGAATTATAGATGTGTCAAGAAATATGTTATTATTAAATCCAGAAGTCCCAAAAGAATATGTAGTTTTCTTGTATGAGGAGAATTTCACAATATAGTCATGCAATTGAAATTATCAAAATACACTTGTAAAGCACTAAAAGTAAGATAGTGTAATTCTCATCCTTGGAACTTGATGTATGACTCATGCATATGAAACCAGAAAATTAGGACTCACTTTGTAAAATTCCATTAGTTGATCAGCTCTGAAGCTTTTCACCTACAAAAAAGATGATCAAGTTAAGATTTTCTTTTTCCAGTGGAAAGATGATAAATTGAATAACATTGTGGCATAGTTATAACCAAGGATCAAAATTTCGCAATGTATCATCCCATATTGACCAATAAATATCGTATCGTCAGGGTACCAAATGCTGTTTTTAGGGTACTTTTAAAAAGTGTTGCTTTAAACGTTAAGAAACATTAAATGCAGCTTCTCTTTAAACATTAGCAATACACCCCTTCCTCTGTATCTAAGTGTATTGATACTTTGATCCTTGGTTATAACCATAGTCAAAATGGAATAATTGGCAAGGGTATTGGTTGTTTTGCAAGGTATAAGAATGCCTAAATCCCTAGGTTTTAATGAGCTACTGGTGGAAGGGGACTTTATGTAATTGTGAATTGTTTAAAAAGAACAGGATGGGATCTCGGAAGTATAGATACATACTCTAAGTACAAGTAATAGCTGGGTTCCAAGGTCTGCCAATAGCATGGCAGATGGGTTAGTTCAACAAGAAGTAAACAAGAGCCAATTGTTCTGTGGAATGATCCTACAGGAGGAGAATTTATAGAAGAAAACCAGGGAAGGCTAAGGAGGATAGGCTCTAAGTGCAAATTCTGTCCTCCCTTCTTTTCTACCACATATCAGGTATATAATCCATGTTTTAGAAACCTTGTTAAATTTTGGGAACATGTTTGGATGGGCAATTCTCCTTTGAAGGAACAGTTTCCACTCTAATATACTCTTTCTGCAAGGATGAGCCTATTTCCTTTTTCTTGGTTCCATCTAACTCAAGGTCTAGATTTGATACGGACCTGGAATTTAGAAGGGATTTTTGTGAACTTGAATTAAACAGTGTCTTGTCTTTGCTTCAAATTCTGGAATGGGTTTTTCTTGATCCTTCAAAAGGGGACAATCAGATTTGGACTCCTTCTAGCTCCTTATCTTGTGCCTCCTTTTTTCTGACCTTAATTCAATATCGTGACAGTCAAGGTAGGCCTTTTCCTATCAAAGAGGTTTGGAGTAAACCAATTCCTACTAGAGTTAGAGGTTTTTGCTAAGAAGCCTTTTTTGGAAAGAATTAACACCTGTGATTTAATTCAGAGAAAAGGAGGAAACTGGTGCTTATCCCCTCACCAGTGTTATCTTTGCAAAGTTAAATGGTGAGTCTTTCTATCACTTATTAATCTCTTGCCCGTTTGCTTCTTTTATATGGGATTGGTTTTTCTCTTTGTTTGGGTGTAGGTGGACCCCCCCCACACACACACACACCAAATTTACAAAGCTTGTTTGCTTCTACTTTTTGCAATTGGCCGAAGAAACAGGGAAGTGTCTTATGGAGGTGCACAAGAGTTGTAGTTTGCTGGAAAATTTAGGAAGTAAGAAACTTGAGACTCTTCTCAAAGAAGGATAGAAGCAGAGAAGCCTTAATTGAAGTTAAGGCCATCAGAGTGGTACATTGGATCAAATCCTTGCCCCTTTCTTAGGACATCTCTACTAATGACCTACATAGGAAGTGGAAGCAAGTGGCATACTCAGCTCCTCATGCTGTTGTTATAAGGTGCTCTTGGTCCCCACTGGCTGAAGGTTTCATAAAGCTGAATTTGATGGTAGTAGTGAAGGAAATCCTAGTCCTTCAGGCATTTGAGGAATTTTCAGGACTGATGGAGGAAGAATCCTTGCCTTTTTTCAGGTCCAATTGGTGTTGGTGACTCATTGAGGGCAGAAATCTTGGCTGTAATGAAAGGTGTTACAAGGGCCAAGGAGTTGAATGTCCAGAAGATGATTATTGAAGACGACTTAAAATTAGCATAAGCTGGCTGCAAAAGGGTGTAGTGGGATGGTGGAATTATGTTAATGAGAAAAGCAAATTTAAGCGGGTGACACCTGGAATGGAAGTTAGATTACAATGGATTAAAAGAGACGCCAACTCCTTTCCAGAGATCATTTATTTTGGGCTGTGTTGTAATCTGTTTTTCTTTGGGAGAGATAAGAGAGTTTTCATTGGATTGAAAGAGACGACAATTTGTATGGGGTGCTAGATATAATGATCAGAAGGTCCTTGAGAACAATTCTAATGCAGCTAAATAGTTCAGAAATCAGAGTTATCATTGGTCAATTCAAATTTCAAGTCTTTGCTAGCTTGAAAGGAGGTCTATTTGGAGTTCAGTTTTTTCCTGCTGGTGATGTGAAGTAATTGAGGATCACTTAGCATGGGGGCTCATTGAAGTTTGGTGCTTTTGATTTTTGATTGTCTTTGGTTTGTCAGTGTGTTCTGCTAATGGCTTTTGCTGTTGGGTTATTGTTGGGTTGCTTCTTTGAGATTGGGATTGCTTTCTTCTTCTTTTAGGTGACTTCTAGTCACCTTTCTCGCATCTTTCTTCTTCCTTTTAATAAATTTTATTTTATTACCAAAAAAAAATTGTATGGGGTGCTAGGCACGATAGTGTTGTATGCAATGCAAGATGTATCAATGGTGTATACCATTTTTTTATATATGATTTTCACAGTTATGGAATGGGGAAACAAACACGTCAAGATGTAATTTGGTAGGATAGGCAAGATAAAAAGAATATTCTACAAATAGTGAGTATAGGAGAAGTTAGTGATGCATAGAAACCTCAGCAGTCAGCACATCATAAGTAGTAAAAACTAAAAGTGATGAAATAAATAAAGAGCCCAACTAAGCAAGCGGAGATGCTTGTTGAGTAGACTAACCCAATCTTCCTTCAAGAAATCTAAACCAGAACTCAAAAATCGAGGTTATTCAAGGATCGTGCTGAAGAAGACTAACCCAAGGGCTTCTTAAGACAGGAGTCTAGAAGACATAAGCAGTGTTGCACTGACTCTTATAAATGGATAACGTATCCACATCAGACGCACATCAGAATCCAACTCCACAGACTCTTGAGTCTTGAGAACACTTCTATGTAACATTTCCCTTTTTATCTCCTAGCTTATTTGACATAACCAACCGTTAATGTACAAGATGAATCATGAATGTCATTTTGCATATCAAATGTTACTTAGTAACAAGAGAACATTTTTTGCAGGTATATAATGTTAGAATTCAAAAAATATTAACTACTTTAATAGCATATACTTTTCCATTGGAGTATCCAGGAGTCAATGTTTTCTCATCTTGCTAAATCAGACTCATGGACATGCATCAGATTCCAATTCCTGCGCCCGTGTCTGTGCAACACTGCATATAAGCCGCTACTTGCCTTTTGGAATTCCAAACAATGAGTCTTGGAGGACAGTTTTGGTGGTAGTCTATGTGATCAGGAGACTTTAAAATCTATTGCAAGCCCATGGCAGATACAACCAATTTCAGAGTAAATCTCATATACATATTGTATATACAGTATCCTTGAAAAATCTGGGCAACATAAGGGTGATAGCAGTGATTTAAACATGTAGCAGTATGACCAATGCAAGGGGTAACATTGAATGTCAGAAGATGTGGATAATAAAAAACACCTACACAGATGAAGATCAAATTTCTTAAACACAGAAAGTCATAACCAGGAAAGAAATGTTGGAAGGACAAGAGAAGGTAACAATAGCAAAATATTTCTGTCAACAGATAATAGTTATGTACTAGAAATCTGAAAGTAAAAAGTTACCTGTTTCAATGGCACAAAGTTTATTTCATAAGGGGGCAACGCCTGTAATAGATAAAATGTGATGGAACAATGTAAGCGGAAATCCAGAAGGTGAGGTAGTCAATACATGTTTGTGGAAACACCCAACCAACTTAGAATAGAAATGCGATATACAAGATTAAGTGCCACAAAAGAAATCCAACGAAAATACAAGGGTTAGGTAGCAAGGGCTAGCGTATTAAAAGGGGTGCTAGGCACAATTCTGCTTCAAATTTCTGTAACGTTGTTCTTTTCTTACAAATCAATAAAATTCTTGATGGTTATCCATCAAAAAATTTGGCATCAAAAGAAGCAAAAAATTGAGTGATTATGTAATTGTTTCAAGTTTTCAGTTCAAGAATTTCAGGAGTTCTGTAAGTATCAAGTTTGAAGTCAAATTGAATGTACATATATTTGCAAAATAGTTAAACAAAATACAAAAGAGATACAAAGTATAACTTAAGAATTTGCAAAATATTCTTTGGTAACTAACTTGCAAAAAAGCACATCAATTTGCTTTTGAATATTCAGTGCACTAATAGTTGGCAAATCCACCCCCAGCCCTTTCCCTATCGCAACTCCACCCTGCTTATAATGCTTGAGCGCCATTCAATATTTTCAAAGCCCACAAAAATTCTCTTTTTTCCACAACTATGAATTCAGGATATGTAAGGAAAAACATTTAATTGTCATAGAGGGGGATTCAAAGGTTGTAATTGAGAGGCTGCAATAAAACAAGCAAGGGCCCTGGCAGTATTGGAACGACTTAACAGAGATGAGAGCTATTGCAACAAAATTGGAAGCAGATTTTTCTTGGACCAACAGATCAGCAAATGGGTTGGTCAATGCTTTGGCTAGACAAGGGATGAATAGGGCACAGTTGTATTGGAATTCCTTACAATAAGGGAACAAATATAGGGTAAGGGGAGGGCCATTAGCCAGCCTCCTGGAAAGACTGAACATGTAAATCCCCCCTCCCCCCCACTATGGTCCAGAAATCCCCACTTGTAATACATTCTCCCATGTAAATCCCCCCCCCCAATCCACTTTAAGTTTTGGCCCCCTCATAAAAATTCCCTGGCTCCGCCCCTGAATGTGGAACCCAGGAAGGAAAGTCACCAGCATATTTAGGGATGTAATTGGGTCAGATTAGGGTCAGACCCAGTTATATCCAAATCTGATCCGACTCTGATCCAAAATCCTATGTGTTAGACTCAAATCAGATCAGATTTAATCCAAATCCATTTGACTATTTGACACAAATAGTCAAACAGAAAAGTAAATCCATCTCAAGTGGTCTGGAATTAATTGTTGCTGAAGCGTAAGGAGTCAATATCCAGAACAAGGTAAAAGCCACTACCCTAGGCAAAAGTGCAAATTCTTCAATGCTAAAATGCTATTTAATGTCTTATAATGAACTTATGTATCAAAGAAAAAAAAAATAGACAAGCTCAAATCATCTGGAATTGATTGTTATTGAAGCATAAAGAGTCAATACCTAGAACAAGGTAAAAACAACTATCCTAAGCAAAAAGAGCAAATTCTTTGCTACAATGCTATTGAATGTAGTATGACTCATATCATCAATGAATGTACCAAAAAACACAATGAAAATAAGCTTTACCACAAAACCACATAAAGATGGAGAGGTGCTATTAGTGGATAGCTTACCTCATATGTAAAGGGAGCTTGTATTGTATCCAAATCATGAGTTCCAATAGCAACCAGGGTTCTCCGCCTAAAACAAAATTTAGAAATAGCATTTCCATTTGAACAATCATATGACAACAACAACAACGAAAATATTCAAACTCTATCAATACAAGTCACACAGGTGACAAAAATAAAGCAATTATGAACAATTAATGGTACTGATAAGTAACCCCAGCAAAGCATCCAATATGTACAAAAAGATGGAAAAGATTTTTTCACATTTTTGTGTCACAGATTTTTTCAGTGGATGAAATAGAAAATCTACAAAGAATACCAAAGATAGCAAAAACTAGTCTAGAGTATAAAAAGAGATTAAAAGAGCCATCTAAATCTCAACAAAATCACTATGAATATTAATATCAATCAATGCTTCAAATCCTTCAAGCAGATTTTCCAGTATTAGCACACATTTTTGTGTTACAGATTTTTTCAGTGGATGAAATAGAAAATCTACAAAGAATACCAAAGATAGCAAAAACTAGTCTAGAGTATAAAAAGAGATTAAAAGAGCCATCTAAATCTCAACAAAATCACTATGAATATTAAAATCAATCAATGCTTCAAATCCTTCAAGCAGATTTTCCAGTATTCTAGCACCCAGCCAATAACAGCAAATTTTTGAAAAGCAGCATTTCCAATATCTTTCTCTCCCTTCCAAATCCCTAGAAGATTTGCAAAGGAAGAATCACTCAAAGAGTTCTGCCTCCTGCACTGGAAGGAATGATGGATATCTCTTTGAGACCGAAGTGCCACATAGAATTCGTACTAATTTTAGGCATAGACGGCATTAGTTTAGAGTTTGCCTTGATTAATGTAAAATTTGGGTTTAATTATAAAATTCTTCTTAGTAGGGGGTTTATTTGTAATTTTCATATTTGGTAGGGATTTAAGTATAATTTTCATTTTGGTAGGGATTTAATTGTAATTTCAATTTCTAGGTTTCTTATAAATTCACATTATGTTAGGGCTGTATTATGTTATGTTTTGAGAAATATAAAGTTTTCAAGTTCTCTTCTCTGACTTGTCTTCTCTCTTCCTTCTCTTCTTCCCCTTGTCTTCCTCCTTTCTTGTAACAGGTGGCGGTACAGCATCAGTTTGGTATCAAAGCTAAGGTTCTGTCCCACGTCCCTGCCCATCTCCACCATTAAACCAAAGCAGCTGCAGCTCAATCTTTAATCTTTGTCTCTTTCCACCAACTGAACAAAGGTCCACCATGTCTCTCCTTCTCTGTCTTCTCTTTCTCCTCCTGCTCCTCTTTCTTCCTATTCTCCTTCTTCTTCTTCTTTCTCTCTTCTCTCCAATCTGCATCTGAACCTTACAACAGTCACCGCCTCTCTCTCTCTCTCTCAGTTTCTTTTTGGTTTGCTTCTCCTTTCTTTCTTTCTCCCTTCTCCTTCTTCCCCAATTCTGTTTCAGCAATAGAACAACATTATTTGTAGTCGTTTCACCCAATCTCCTTTCCTCTTTCTTTGTTCCTCTCTCTTCTCCCACCAACTCTTTCTGTTTCACTCTCTTTTAATTTCTTGTTCTCGTTCTTCTTCCTTCTTCCTTCTTCCATCCTCATTTTTTTTCTTTCTTTTCCCTCTTTCTTTCCTTTCTCTATTCCACTGTTACATCAGTTGGCAGCACTGCCTATCCCCTTGGTTGCTTTCTTTCTTTCCTTTCCCCTCTCTCCTTCCTTCCTTCTACCATTTATTTTCTTTATTTTCTCTGCTGCTGCAACCAAGCTAAAAAGACTCTGCCAGCAGCATTTCTCTCTCCTGTCTTTCTATTCCACGAACCAGCCGCTAATTCAAAGTAAAGAACATAGTGTAGCGGAATTGGATAAATCCCATGCCAGGTTCTAGGCAAATAGCATTGTCTAATATCAACTGAAAAAAAAAATTACAAGGACACTAACTGAATAGGCTAAATCCTAGTGAACTTAGGACTAGGATTTGGATAGACTTTTACTCAAATAAATCCCATGCCAGGTTCTTAATACTCAAATAAGAAAGGAAAAAACTTTTACCTTATCAAAAAAAAAACTCAAGAAAATCTCAGCCATGTTTGGATAGACTTTTGTTTCATGTTTTTGGGCTTTGAGAAGCAAAATATGTGCTTCAAAGTTTGGTAACAGCTATCTTCTGAAGCATTTTTGTTCAAAACAAACACACATTGGAAGCCCAAAGCACGAAATCAGAATTTCTAACTTTATGATTTGATAGTTTGATCCTACATTGGAAGCCTTCTTTTTTGCAAAGTGCAGTAAGGTGCAAAGAGGGTATTTCTAGAGATGCCACATGGCATAACCATGTGTGCCATGTGACATCTCTGCAAGATGTAATCTTCTTAAATCATGTGCATATACCACATGGCATATCTCTTTGTGCTTTTATTTTCAAGATATTATTGTGAAAGCAACCTTTATAAAACAGATTACAGCAGAAAACATAGTCAAACTTCAAAAGTCTATATAAACACAACCTCGGTTAACTTAGGAATAGAATCGGGGAAATCCTACTTTAACTTAATACTACAACTCTAACTGTCTAACATACTGACATTACCATTGACTTTGCTAGAATAAAACCTAATCCAATTATAATAATAAAAAAAAAAACTAGCTCCCATTGTAATTAGGATAACTAACCCCTAATGCAACTAAGAAAAATAATAATGATTAAGCAGAAAATAGCTACTAAAAAACTAAGATAATGAACCTAATAATACATGAATATGTTCTCCTGTACACTTCAGCACTTTTATGACTCACTGATTACATATGCAAAAGTATCTGCTGTATGTGTGTGTCCATTTACAAAAATATGCTAAGCCTAATTAAGTCAAGTGAAGAACAATTTACTTGAGGCACACAATTGAAGACTTACATAGTGTACTGAAATGGTGAAACCATAGGGTTAAAAGCCTCACCGGCATATATTCTGATGGAGCCTATCTTGAAGGTCAATAAAACTGTTATATCTCACTTCATCAAAGGTTATACCTCTTAAAACCGCACAAACAATGAAGGGACGTATCAAAGATGTCTGCAGATTAATACATGTTAAAGACAGGAAACCATGAAAAGGCATGCATGTAGAAGACTTGATTACCAACTCAATACCTCTGGTTTTACATGCATCTTAAGCATGGATTCACTTGGAATGTTGGACACTGTATATTTAGGTATCTCATCAATCCCGATGAATATGCGAAGAGCTTGCACGAGCCCTTCAAGACAAAGCAAATCGTACCTGTTCAAGGAAGAAATCAATGAGAAAGAAAATTATTTTTTACACCCCCTATTTTGTTTTCCCCTTCCCCACTCAATGTTCTAACTTTCAGGGAACATCGCAAATTTTCTTTACCAACCAACAATCATTCTCATAAACCACCTGTAAACTGAAAACAGCAAAACTAAACCCAATTGGGCTATTTTGGTCCATTAAAGGCTCTAAGTGAGCAAAGGAGATTTGAGAGCTTGCTTTATGCCGCTTGATATAGTGGAAAGGCGGAACAAAATCCAAGACAATAATAGTTTAGCAAATGGTTTCCTCCATAGAATAGAGTTAACCCCAGTTATTCTTCCAACAGAACCTATAGACAGATGGAGACAGAGGATACCTGTTCGCTGGAACTTCAATTTTGTATATAACTTCCTCGTCTTCTTCGGTCTCTTCTTCCAAATGCTTTTCTTTTCTGATAATGGCCTTTTCCGTTGTCTGGAACAGGCAGAATAATGAGATAAACTGTTGTAAAAAATCAAATACAAAAAAAAAAAAAAAAACACAACTGTAAAACTATAAAGTGCTTACAACGTCGTCGAGCTCGATCCCGAAATCGAAACAGAGTTCTTCAAACTCCTCTTGAGCTGAAATTTAAGAATGTAAGTAGTCTAATCGAAACCCTTTAACTGGAATCAAAGGACTGACGACCAGAAGCTTAAAAACTTACTGTAATTTTTTCCTAAAGCAGCAAAGAGACGGTCCCTTCCGACGCTAACGGTAGGCATGGCGACAAGTAATGCGGCTAATGGTTTCTGCAACCTCGCCGCCGAAACTGATACAGAGAAGAGGAGGTGATCGGGAAAATTAAATTTCAATCAATTACTCACTCTTTCGTTAAGAAATTTCCACTGCCTCAAATTCCCCTATTTTCACCGTAAGATTCAGGTAGGGGTGTAAACGGATCGAATTCGAATCGGGTCGGTAAATATTCGAATTCGAATCCGATTATAAAATCCAATATCCAAATTTGATCTGAGATATTGAAAATTAATATCCGAATTCGAATCCGATTAAATATCCGAATATTCGATTCGAATTCGATTAATTAATTATTTTAGATAATTAATAAATATATAAAATGAATATGTTATTGATATAAAGTATGTAAATATATAAATTATTTATATAACTTAATTATTATATATATTATATATAAGAATTAAATAACCGATCAAATTCAGATATTTATCGAATCGAATCAGGTCATATCCAAATTCGAATCCGATTAACTATCCGGTAAGAATAGGATATTCGAATTCGACTGATTAGATATTCGAATTATCCGAATTCGATTCAATTATGTCGAATATTGAATTCAAAATCAAATTTTCGAATACCGTTGACACCCCTATTCTCATCTTTCATTCTATACACTACAGTCAAGACTCAAGACTTCGTTTTTGACAATTTCACCTAACTGCCGGTCGGGTTGGCCCAGTTTAAGGCCAACCCAATGAGCTCAATCAAAACGCTACAATTAATTATAATTAACATCTTTAAACATCAACGATATAACGTTATAACTTTGGGCGGGCCCAACTGAACTGATTTAACCCGAAATTTTATACAGAATTGGCTTAGATTTTTGGTATTTGGACTTGGCTCAAGCATAAAACTCTGCATTTTTTATTTTTTCGGCTAGATCTAGGCCTTTAGGTAGCACGAACCAATGTATATATTGGTTCTATGCATGTATATATTTATATGCTTCTATGCATGTATTTGCATGCATATATCCATAAATACATGATTTTTTAATAAATCATAGATATATGCATATATACATATACATGTATATTAATTTTTAATATTGGCTAATTGATTAACCTTGGACTGGCTGAGCCCGGGCCTAACCCGAGTGCATTAAGTTTTAATGTGGGCTGATCTCAGGTTGGATAGTTTGGGTTGACCTCAAACTCAAGCTGGACTCAGGCTTTAGACTCAAATTTTATGGTTGGATCTGGGTTGACCTAAAACCTAGTCCAACCATCCAACTTACACCCTTAGTAAACATCACATAACACTCATATGGCTTGTATCACAGGCAGATATGCATCCAAAAATTAATATTTATAGTTAATGATGGTACAATCAAAAGCAAAAAAAAAAAAAAAAAAGATGAAATTACACGTGCACATGAGTCAACAATGATTGTTTGTGCTCATATTGTAGGGTTATTTTGTTTTCAAGCCTATGATCTATTAGTATCTATTATTTTGGGAAATAACCAGTTCTCATCTATTCTTGATTTTATTTTGTTTTTCCTAGGAATCATAAAGCAATCTCCGGAACAAGTTTTATCTTGGATAGCCGTAGCATTCTATTATATTTAATCTATCTAGAATGACAAAAAATATTTAATCTATACTACCTATAAAAGAGTGAATATATCTTTTTTTCTGGAATTTTCAGTGGACCTTTTCTACCTCTTTTGTCAAACCATACAGTGAGCATATAGAGGGCATAAATGTTCTTTAATCTCACTGTAACAGAATCTTAGAAACATAGCCCCCTCTCCCACTTGACGAACAGTTTCTTCCTTGAGAAGCTATGGATTTATCTGAATCCAGTGGTTTCTTCTTGTAACACAATCGAGCAGTTTCTTCCTTTGAGAAACATAGCCCTCTCACTGTAACAGAATCGAGCGGTTTCATCTACTACTTCCCCACTTGATGAAAAGGAAAAGAACACCCTCTCTCCAACTTCTTCCACTTCCCCTTGTCTCCCATGAATTCACTAGGACTGTATATCGAATTGCGTCTCCCACGAACTCATCCATGCGGGTGGGATTCAGTTTCAGTAAATTGATCAAGGACACCAATTTTTGTTTGTTTGTTTTTCTACTGCTTAGCAATTCCTCTACTAAAGAATTAATAACAGCAACAAGAGGACTGGAGGAGGAGAATAAGGCCATGTTTGGTTCAATTCCCATTCATTCTCATTCTTACCTAAGATGAAATTCTAAAATGAACAAGAATGGGTAAAAATAGGCAAAATGAGAAAAAATATTGCTATGAACCAAACACTTTTCTTTCTAAAAATGAATTCTTTTCAGACTGACAAGTGTCCTATGTTGTTCATTTTCATTCTCCAAAAAAAAAAAAAATCTGTGTCGATATTCACAAACTACTAGCCTAGGTCTCCAATAGTCAATGTTTACCAATTGGCATAGATGTTTTGTAAAAGTACTTTTGTAGAAGTATTTTCGTAAAATTTATTTTATAAAAGTACTTTTGTGAAGTGCTTTTATAAAGTACTTTCGTAAAAGTACATCCATAAAAGTGTTTTCGTGAAAGTGCTTTCATATAAAAGTGTTTTCGTAAAAGTGTAAAAGTACTTTCGCAAAAGTAAACATATATGGCAACAATTTTATAGGTAGAGTTTCCTTAAAGAGTGAAATGAGTAAGATGGGGCATGATTATTTTTAATGATGCATGCTAATCAATTTTTGTGCTATGGGGCTGATTTTTCATTCTAAAAAGAATGTGGCCCTTGGCAATAATTTTGTAACCAAACACTCTAATGTTATTCATTCTTGCCCATTCTTACTTATAATGAGCAAGAATTAAGAGAATGAGGCCAAGAGCAATGGACCAAACATGGCCTAAGGTACATAGGGTCTTACACATGAGCACATTGCTCCAAAATTTATATGAAAAATTTCTTTTTTTACCACTTCTCTAACCAAGTTATTGTAATTTCAAATGGGGCTCCTTGTTGAATGAAGAAGTGGTGCGAAACAACTTGTACTATAAAATTATGAGCCATGGATATGGAGGAATCGAAAGAGAAGAAAGAAATCCATAGAGACGACTTGGAAGAGCCACAGGAACAATCATCGGAGGAGTGGAAGAGAATTTCGCCATGGACTAAGCAGATTACAATACACGGGCTTATTGCAAGCTTACTGATCGAGGTTATCTATAATGTGATAGTGATGAATCTTAACCTCAGCATTGGCCCCATTCCTAACCTCAATGTCTCTATTGCCCTTTTTGCTTTTGTTTTCATACAGTTGTGGACAACATTGCTTCAGAAAGCTGGAATTGTCTCATCCACGTCCACGTGGGAGGAGAACACCATAATCCAGATTTGTGCAGTTGCATGTTATAGTATTGTTGTAGGAGGTGAGATGCTCTAATCTTTTGTAAATTTATCAGAGATTCAGAATAGAGAAAAGTTTTTTTCCCCTTCAAAATATCCATTTTTAGGCACTCTTTTTTTATTTGCAATACTCCATCGAGCTATAAAGAACCTGGAATTGGTTGGATGACTGGGTTCCATTTTGTAGTTATCTTTGTTGGACTTTTGGCATTAGTTTTTCTCAAAACGGCACATTCCTCTATTTCATTGTTATATATTTATAATATGATTTTGAGGTTTTTCTTTTGGTGGAGCTATAACAGACTTGGTTTTATTGTATGGTAATTTTTCGTCTACTTCTAAATTTTCTGATTACAAGTGAGACTACAATCCATCCTCCTGCAATGAGATTGTTAAGTCTTATAAAAGAGTTATGGGTAACCACCTTAAATTTGTCTTTACTGCATGAATTGTTTCTGATATGTTGTAACTTCCTTTATCGGTTGCACTTATGGGATAATACTACATTCTCCATCATTTTGATCACATTAATGTTCCCCAACTTAAAATGGTACTATGTGGTTGTAGCTTACATTTTTAATCCATCTCTAAGCTAGTACAATGCTTATGATGCTGGTCTAACTGACATGAACATGGCCCACAACTATGGAAAAGTGGCCCTTTTTGTAATTGCCACCTTACTTGGAAAAGACTCTGGTGTGATAGCAGGGCTTCTTGGTTGTGGCCTGATTAAATCCATTGTTTCCATCTCTTCTGATCTGATGCATGACTTCAAGTCCACTCATCTCACTGTCACTTCTCCTCGCTCAATGTTCGTGAGCCAGGCTCTTAGAAATGCCACGGGCTGTGTGATTGGTCCTTTTACCTTCTTTCGATGTGGGAAGTCCTAATAAAGAGCTCAAATCCCCATATGCATTAATCTATCGAAACATGGGAATTATTGGCATTAAAGGATTTTTTGCACTACCACGACATTGCTTACAACTCTGTTATTGATTCTTTGCCTTTGTAGTTGGGGCAAACTTATTGAGGGACTTATTCCTACCTAAATTAGGGAAGTGGGTTCCGTTACCAATGGCTATGGCAGTAGTATAGAAAGCATTTGCCATTATGAACAAAGGTGTTAGGCCTATAATCCACTATATCCGAGTTTGGTTATCCTATAAAAATGCGTCTTTCACAAATTCCTGCATTCTCAATTGCAGGACACCACATTAGCATCAGAGCATGTGCGTAATTCACATGTATAAGAAGATTAAGATTGTCAATTGTCTCACTATCTTATTCCTTCATTGGCTCAAGATTTTCCACTCCACTAAAACTTTAGTTGAGTAGTAGCAAACCACAACCTAAGCTAAGCAAGGGTGTACTAGCATCCTCCTTCAATATCTTTCTTGTTGATGTCAAGAAGACAAGAGTTATTGTTTGATCATTTGTTAAAAGTTACTTAACCTTCTTCATGTGAATCTTGAACATTTATTAACTTGAGGGCTGGAAATTGTGCCAGAAAAGAGAGAGCTATGAGGGGGTAGGATAGGAATGAAGATGAATCCAGAAATTACCTTTTATTTGTTCAAGAAGATATAGGATATTCTAAGGGTTGGACCTTTGAAGTGCTTAGCCTATGAGCTCTCTAAAAGTATCAGAACATGGTGTATTGTTGTGCTGATGTGTTCTATTCTTGGGACAAGTGGATGAATCCATTGACCACTTGTACATTCATTGTCTGGTTGCCTGGGCAATCTGGGTGATGCCAGGCTCGGTAAAGGATGTGCTTTGCAGCTGGTGCTTCCCAGGTGTGCTCTGTAGTTGATGCCTCATAGGTCTTTCCAAGTTTGCCTTTTGAAGTCAATTCATGTTGTGGTGATTGGGTCTATTTGTGGGGGGAGGAAAAGCTTTGATGAATTTATTAACCTTAATGTTGGTAGATTTCGGGTTCCTGGGTTTCACCTATAAATTACTTCAGAAATCATAATGTATTCTTAATTCTCAACTCTTTAAGTTTATAGGAATTATGATGTGCTTGTCCCAGATGGGATTGGCTTTTGCTTCCCCACCCGAGTGTATTATTTTATTAATAAAAATATTAAGTTTCAAATATTATTTTATTTTATTAATTATTATAGTTACTATTTTATTAATTATTAAATTTTGAATATTATTTTTGTTAATTATTATTAATTAATGTTAATATTATTTTATAATTATTAAGTTTTGAATATTAATTTTATTAATATTAATTGTTATTGATATTATTACTTATTATTAAATGTTATTAATATTGTTGTTAATATTACCAAACATCATTAATGTTACTACTCATTTATTATTATTATGTGTTATTTAATATTATTAATTTTATTAGTTATTAAAATTCTTAGCAATTTACTATTATTATATTGTATATTACTAAAAAATAAAATATTGTTTTTAATGATTAATAGCATAGGTTGTTTTAAATGTTGTAATTGAGATGCATGGAGTCAAACACAAAGTGTGGACCGAAATGCATAATACCTTATAAAACGCCCATAGAGGTGTTGTGGATTGGTCCACACATTTTTATTCACTGTGATGTGGATGAAAATACATTGCCCAATTTCTCATTTACATTACAGAACATTCCCTAAAGGACTCAATACTTTAATTAATAAAAAATGATTTATCTACATTTGTGTTGAAATTTTTTTCTACATTTTCTTTTTAAATTTTATATACTTTAATCATTATCAAAACAACCTCCCACGTACGTGCCCACTTACCAGTGATATTATATAATATTATAGATCTTGAATATGGGTAATGAACTGCACTAATCTCACATCCTAAATATCAATTTTCCTGTGCAAGTTTCTCATGAATGAGAATCAGATCAAGTAAGTAGAAAAAAAAATCTGATAAACTTTTGAACTTACTTCTGACTTCACTTACCCGGTTAAGTGTTTCCAAATAAGTTCACTTATCTGGAATAACGCTTAGGCACGTAAAAAATAGTTTTCCGAAAACGAATGGATAGTAACTTGTCCACATCTTCGTAGGCATACAAGACTTGACTTCTGGGCCTAAAATCTCACGCGTTTGATTTGTGCAGTGGACCCACTGAACAAATGGGTATAGCCTACAGTCTTGAAGCCACAACTCACAAGCCCATCAAGATCACAGAAATGGATAACGACTCAAAATTACCCAGATGATTGCACCCTTATGGTAGAATAGAACAGAGTGAGGGAATCAAGATATATATGAAGATAATGCTCCCCAAGGGCTACAATGATATTTGTATTGAGGCTTTAGTTACAGAGAAGTTACAGAGAAAGCCACAACCAACAATAAAAAAGAGAAGAAATTAAGATATGTTATATATCAAATATTTAATACGTATAGAAATAGACAAGTCAACAACTACGACCACCATCCACCAGACTTCACCGTTCGGAGCCCAATCACCGGCGACCACCTTCCCCCGCCGTGAACGTTAAACTCCTTTAGATACTTAGCTAAATATCAGATACGGATGCCTCCGTGGTTTTCTCGTAAAAGTCATTCTCCGGCAACTCCCTTTGCATCTCATGAACACCCAAGTCAACTCTGATACGATACTGCGGTAGGTCCGCCACATCTTCGACTTCGACGCTCCTTTGCACCTCACGAGGCGGAGAAGGCCAAGGAGTTACATAAGGAGGCGAGGTGCAGGGCGTTGAAAATGGTGTATCTCTCTCCACCTCGACGCTCCTTTGCACGTCTCCGTCTTTGGTAGCCTCGAGACGGCGGGGCATCCTCTTCTTCGGCTTCCGTTCTGCCGATGGTTTCTGTGACTCCAAGTCTTCTTTATCTTCCTTGATTGGAAGCAAAAACCTCGGTGGCCCATACAGTCCGTGCCATTTCAACGGGTCAACGGGTCCCGACAGTCCATCCCGCGTGCCGGAGGCTCGAGAAGTCGGAAATACGGTGGGCTCTATGCGAGACTGGTTCTTCCAGCAGAAGAAGTACAGCAGCTCCTTGGAAGGGCTGGCAAAAGGATCCCCGGTGAAGTCAGGTTCGCCGGTGGAGTTTTGTTGTCGGAATCTTCGACGATACCAAATGACGTAAAGGATCAGGGATATCAAAGCAACGAAGCAGAGGGCGAATACGACGATGAATCCGATTGCAAGGTTGCTTATACCGCTCATCTCCAGCAGCAGTAGTCTGGTTCAATCTCGAGCGTTAGCAGATTAGAAACTGGTCGATGACCCAGAAGGTCTGATTTAAAGTGGAATGGCAGACAATAGCATTACCGACTGTAGCCGGTAATTATCTCCGGACCAACCAACGGACAAAGGGATTTTCAGTTTTTCTTGGAAACGTTGATAGAATTTTTTGAGTTGATGAATGATAGTGCCGTCAAAGTTTGAACTGTCTACAGTCAAACCAGTAAATTCGTAATGTTGTGCCAATTACTGTAGGTCACGTCAGATTTTTGCACGTAGGCCCAAATCAATCTGACGTGGCGTATTCTAGTTGGCAAGAAGACTCGCCACATACCATACCCCCATTTTTTTTTGTATTGAATCATTTTTTTCTAAAGAAACTAATCATCACCTTTCAGGCTTTCACCCCGTAAGGGTCATTTTTTCTCAGTATTCTACAACACTTTTCTAGTAACAATTACTCTTCTCAAAGGTGCGGTGATAGTGGTAGGAGCCCATAGCGGGGCTCCAAACCACATCATTTCTGGGACTACCCAAACTATATACCAAGTGAGCCACCACTCAGTGGATTACCATACTGTCTATCTCATGCATATAAAACGGCAAGCAAAATCACCTTACCAGCAAAAGTTGAAGAAACATTGTTTCTCTGTCCAAAGTGGAACAAACAGTTCTGAACAGATGTATAATGACTTATTCCTTTTTTTTTTTAAGTCAGTCAATGTGGTATTCAAAATTTTTTAATAATTATATTAATATTGGAACATTATTTGTGACATCTGGTTTAATCGTTTATGATTATCCAAAGCCGAGCCCTTTACTTGGAAGATGATAAGAAAGCGACATGGTTAGGTGCAAGGATGTTTACAAATATTTAGTTGGACCCAGGGCCCAAGACATAATAAAATTATGATACTCATCTGGGAATGGGAATGGAAACGGGGCAGATTTGGAGTGGGGATTATATTCTCCATCCAGGATTTTGATTTTGAAATTAAAATTTGTTCTTCATCCTCAATCCTCCATGGGAATGGATTCTCTGTGAGAACTCGAATTTCTAAAATGTTTTCAGATAATATTATTTTTTTTTAAATAAATAAAAATTATAAATTATAAATAATATTATATATATAATTGGGGTCAGGACAGGACGGGGACTTCAATCCTAATCCTCGACCCCATTAAATCAGAAAAATCGGTCCTTGTTGGGATGGGGAAAATTGCCATCCCTATACCCATCATCGTTCATCGTACTAGTGTTGATCTAGGTTATGGGACTGAGGGCAAATTGTAGTTTTATTATGTAGAAAGATGCTCAGATGCCCACTTCGGTAATGAGGTACATCCTAAGTAAATATGAAGGTTGAACTCCCTGTGTTTGAACCATTGGTTTAGAATCTTTATCCAATTCACGTTTGCTGCGTCTTGAATCAGATGTATATGGGCTTTAGGCCTATGACATCACATAACAGAAATTTAGTTTTTTTTTTTTTAATAAAAAAGTTGTGTTATATTTTATATGATGCATAATACATGAAATAAAATGCTACATGGTGTATGGGCTCTTGCCATCATCTATATAAGAATAAACAATTACCAGAGAACAAGTAATTCTTTTTTACTCAGTTGACTCATGTGTCAACTCATGAATACATATAATATATTATATTGAACTTTTTATATAAAATATATAATATATAATTAAATATATTAATAGATATATGATATGTATAATACAAGCCGGATTACGGGATTAGGCTTAAAGTTTGGGCCCAATCTCGGCCCAAAAATGTGTGGGCTGAGGACAAACTGGGTCTAAACACAAAAACTTGGTTCCAGGCCTGAAAGTTTGCAGGTTGGGTCAGACCATGTTTCTGGGTTGGTGTAAGAAAGATCATCCCTACCTCTAACTAGATCTGTTCATGGGGCGATGGCCCAATGGGCCGGGCCGGCCCGACCTGACCCCCGGACGGGCTTGAACAGGTATATAGGCCCGCGAGCTTAACCTCGGGCCAAAAAGCCCAGCCCACAATAAATTCGAGTCAGGTTCGGGATTTGCCAAAATAGCCCGGCCTGACCTATAACTAAACCTAAAAACCCTAGTTGAATACCCCTCTTTTTTTTACCTCATTCCCTTCTTTTTCCAACCGAATTCTTCTTCTCCACATCCTCTTTCCCTTCTTTATATTCTTTTTTTAATATAAATAAATTTTGAATTTATATATTTTTTTAATGTAAATAAATTCTGATTTATATTGATTATTGAATAGGGAAATTTTCTAATTCTTTTTATTAGGTCGGGCTTCGGGCTTTTTATTAGGGCCGGGCTCGGGCCCAAGTTGTAGGCCCGTTGGTCGGGCCAGGCTTGGGCCCAAGTTGTAGGTCCGTTGGTCAGGCCAGGCTCGGGCTCGGGCCTAACATATTTCTGTTAATGGAGAGTAAAAGCCCGGCCCATGAACAGGTCTACCTCTAACCAAAAGTTTATGGGCCGGTCAGTTTCGAACTCTGGAAAGAAATAAAATGCCCATTAAATGCTCTTTTATATTCTTTTTCATTGTGAAGGTATCGTCTGTTTTCTGATTTTCTCTTGTCAAGATGCACAAAAAGGCTGAAACATATAAAAATGATACTTCGCTTGTGTACTCAAGGCTGAGTTTGGAAGGAGCACAAATGCAGAAAGATAGAGTGCAAAATCTTATATTTTGTATGTATTTTTGCTGTACATATTTACATTTGTACTCCTTCTAAACTGAGCCTAAATTACTATTAATGAATTCTTAACAATTGACTTATAACAAGTGCACATAAATTACTATAAAGTAACTTCTAGGTTGACATAAAATATTATGATCAAGTTGACATTATAAAAAGTCAAACTAGAACTAAGAAATTAGACCTTCCAAAATTAGGTTAAGTTCGTTTGATAAAAACTATAATAATACACTAAAGTGCCATGATTAAGTAAGGTTTATTATGCTTGAATATCATAATACACATATATACTTATCTATTGAAAAAACTTGAAATGGATGATGCATGGAGAATCCACAAAAGAAAACAACTATTTTTGTTGCACTAGTGCAAAAGCATGCGACTGCAAGATGAGTTTGATTTCAAATTTTGGTTTAATTTTACTAAGGGTTTTACTTTGTTTTGTTTATTCACAACGAAGACAAGGGTTCGAATGAATGGAAATTGATGAAGGGAAATTTGGCCTGACCTCGCAATCACCCGACACATGGCAAAAGCAAGCAACTCGGGGCAGCAGAGCGCCCAAAACGAGCACCGAAAGTAACAAAGTCCAAGCTCACTACTGAGCCCGAACTCCACCAGACCGGATTC